GTACTGGGCTAATTTTATTTTATTTTATTTTGTATCACATCCATTTTAAAAGGTGCCTTATGTTTATCATGAATTGCTTTGTTCTGTACACAAGTTTATGTCACTGTATCTTTTTTTTTTTTTAGTAAATAACCTTATTTTAGTAAACGTTAGTAATATATTTGTTCCTGAGCAGTTTTAATATTGGGTGGCTGCAGAATTCCAGATCTACAGTGGTCTCTCTTGCTTTTAAAAATGAGCATGAGAAAAATTCATGCTCAAGTAGAAGAAAATGCGTCTGTTCAGAAAAAAAAAGCACAGCTGTTCCAGTTACATTTTTTTAAAAATGGTGAAGATGCATGGAAGGAGAAGGATGGATGGATTGATGGGTGGAGGGAGGGATGGATAAATAGATAAACAGAAGGATGGATGAAGGGGTAGAGATACCCAGAAATGCAGCGAAGAGAAATGGAGATTTCCTTTCCATGGGCACTGGATAACCATCCCAAACAGAGAATAAATCTCAAGATAATCTGCTAAGAAAGCTACCAAGGGAAAGCACATGTGCACAACAGCTCTAAAATGTAAAATAAGCAGATCTGTTCATTTCGTCAGAATACCACAAAAACATTCTTTGCCTTCCCATAAAGCTTAACTGTCAATAACGTTAGCTTTTATCTACCTTTAAACTTTAGATGTGCATAAGTGTTGGTTTAATGGGTGGATCGATCGATCGATCGATGGATGATGATCTTAGTACATCTTCCACAGTTGGTGTTCCCACAATCCATTTACCAGAAGGCTGCAAGCAGGATTTTATCCTGGCAACTTCATTTGAAGCTCATTCCCTGATCCGATTGACCATTTTCTCTCTCCCCACCCACTTCTTCAATCTTACTCTTTATTCCCCTTTTACTCAAAAGTCCTTTATGTTTGCTCCGAATTTTGGGATCCTTATAAAAACTTTGGAATTTCTAAGAGCCTCATGTGCGGTCAACACAAGAATCCATGTTTTGTGGAACGAGTTTCCAGGCCATATTGAACCTTTTGACAGAGGCTCAGGGTATGAAGAGGCTAATCTCTCTTAACACGCCATTTGAAACATGATGTCAACATGTTGTGTTTTTGTTTAAAAGCCACAATCCTGAGGCCATCAAGGTGACTAAGAATGTAACAAAGATATACTGGGATGTTTCAATATAATACTATTGCGGTAACTTGAAAGTTGGAGATCTCACATAATTGACCATAAATGTTAAATTTTCTATCAGTGATGATTGTTGCCATTCTCCCAATTGTGTCTTGTGCCAAGAAGAATTACAGGTGAGACGCTAAATTGATGGAGAATATTTATACTTCAAGATTGAAATGTGGGGTTCTTGGTGCTCTTTAATTTTGATTGTTTTCCTGCAGAGGTTTCATGACTTCATCAGTGACTGATGATGTTACCTAGTTTGGGTCATGAAACGTCTGCAAGAAAACAACCAAGCTCAGACAGCGCCAATGTCAGTCACTAAAATCATAGGATTTAAATATGTCACACTTACTACAAAAAAATTAAACCTGACAATTTGGCTGGGTATGATTCTTAAACGTTTGAGTCATAGACACAGTCTTGCTTTCAACGGGACTTAAAACACGAGTACTATTAACTTGGTGTGGCTAATTCTGAGTTTTTATTTACTCAGTTTTATGCAGAGAACCCTTACTGAATTTCTTTATTTTTAAATTGCCTGGTATTCATTGCAGCAGAGAGAAATCGGTAAGAGATAGCAGTTGGATCCCAGTCCTGTATTTTACACAGAAGGTGCTTAAAATTGTGTGCCCGTTTCACTCCCAGCTGCTTATATTATTTGCTAAGTTGCTGTCCATGTATTTAAATTCAGAATCCAACTAGGAGTTGTTTGGCCCTGCATCACACAGTGAAATTAACACCCAAAGTAATCTTCAGCATGTATAATAAAGATTATTCTCAGTTGGTGTAGTAATCACATTTATTATGGCTCAGAATCAAGGAGGACATTGTATATTGCCAAGAAATGGCGCAATAACATTACGAAGGGATATGAGAATAACATTTTATCCTCATGTTTATGTGTCCCCTGGTGACTGAAACATATTACACATCTGTGGTGTTGCTGATAACAATTTTCAGACAAACAGTAATGATTCTCAATGGTGGGCTAGCTAGTGTATTTGCTATTTTATGTAATGCATATATGGAAGCAATTGTCGTGCCCCTGTTGGAATCTGATTCAGAGGGGGGGGGGGCAAACAGCCGACAGGGAGTGGGAGTGTGGCTCTGTTGGCTGTGGAAGAAATTGGGGAAGGGCAAAGTCCAGCTGGGCAGAGCAGGGGAGAGGTAGAGCAAGGCAGAGGGAATTCAGAGGAAGATCCAGGTCCATCCCCTCTTCATCCTCGGGCATGCAGGAAGGAACGGAGAAGGGAGCAATGTGAGTTGCGTGGCTTACGGGGGAGGAATGGGCCCTGATTCCCTTCATTAGCTGCAGCTGGGAACGGTGTTTAAAAGGGGAAGTTGCACACAGCAACTTGTTGGAAACAAATTGTGAGTTCTCTGTTATTGTCGAGGCTTAGCTGGGTTCCTGGCATCTTCCCAACTGTGTATGTTTTGCTAGACTTTCAGGTCTGGAATTCCTTGTCCTGACCTGTCCAGTTATTGCTGCAGTGTGGTTTGTGTGGATTTTTATTTACATGTACTTTGTTTTCAGACTGAATTTCCTCCACTTAAAGGCTGTTCTTGGGAGAGTTTTTTCTTCCAGCCGAAGGTAACCTTGGACACTGGGGGGCAAAGTTGGAGATATTAAAGGGACTCTTCTTGCTTATGTGACTGTGTTGCCTTTGTGCCATGCCCTGGGTCATCACAGCAATATTCCTACCCAAAAACATTCCCTATCTCTTGGTGTGCCAAGAGTACAGAGATTCCATTAGTACATGCTTCACTATTTTTTTTAAAAGATAGAGATTTGGGGGGAGGGGGAGTTTATATAGTGTAGGGAATAGTCTACATATATCACAGATATATTTATATATCTGTAGGGAATAGTCCTTGACTTAAGACTACAACTGAGCACAAAATTTCTGCTGTTCAATGATACAGTTGTTAGATGAGTTTTGCCCCATTTTATGACCTTGCCTGTCACACTTGTTAAGCGAATCACTGCAGTTGTTAGGTTACTAACAAGGTTATAAAGTGAACACTGCTTCTTCCTGTGCCGTATCCGTCATCGGATGTTGGTGATCATGTTGGCAATTCCTATTTTTATCAACAGCCGCACGAAAAAGTCCTGTTGAGCTTTGTTCAAACTGGTCCCTTAGATTCTGAAGCCCTGAGGTTCTTCTTCTGCCTGGCCCTCATTTGTCTTCAGTCTTTCCTCAGAGGATTAAGTGAAGGATGCCGTATTTTTCCCGGGTGTCGCATCCCATGTCCGAAATGTTCTAATTTTCACTTTTTAATGGCTTGGATGACTTCCCTTGGCTTTCCCAGGCAGCTTATCACCACCTCATTTCTGATTTTGTCAACCCAGCTTATACGGAACAGCCGCCTATAAATCCACATTTCAAATACAGGACACTGCAGCCATCATAAATATGAATCTGTAGCCAGGCATCTGAATTTTGATTACGTGGCTGTGCGGATGCTACAGCTGTTGTAAGTGTGAAAAAACTATGATAAGTCACTTTTTTCAATGCCACTGTAATTTTGAACGGTCACTAAATAAATAGTGTAAGTTAAGGACTATCTATAGGGTTGTTTTTTTTTCCAATTACCTTAAAAAAATCCCATCCTAATTGTAGCCTGATATCCTCTGGAGGTATCTTGATATAAAGACCAACTACGGTAAGTTCAGTTTTGCGTAGCTTCCATTTTTGGCCAAAGGCAAATTAATTGCGTCAAAAATAGCTTCTTATTTCCTAATGTATATTTGCAAACCCCCCAATTTTATTCATCCTTGCTTTTTTTTTTTTTTTAAAAACATTACTAGTAATAAATTGGAACCCTGTCCTGAAAAGGATTTTTTTTTTTTTTTTAAGAAAAATGATTTCCATTCATTGAGTAAGTTTGATCCCACAGTTTTCAGCGCATGAATTTTGGAAATAATCACTCCAGGTACATTTTAATCCAGGATGTTAAAAAAAAAAGTTGCTGGCTCAAGTAGGTCAATGCTCCTTGCTGGAAGCAGAGTGTGCATTATCTTGGTCGAGCCTTATCTCCCAACTGTGGGTGTTGCCTTATTTTTTGAAAATCTATTTCAATTTATCTTCCTGGCCTGCTGTGTTAATTACTTCAGTGTGGTTTGTGTTGTTTTTTTTAAATTTCTAATTATCTTTACTTTGGGTTCAGACTGCATTTCTGCCCTTCGTTGACTGTTGTTTTTTTTTTTGAAGAGTTCGTTATCCAGCCGAGAATAATTGGACATTGGGGCCAAGTTGGAGGCATTAAAGGGAATTTATTCTACTTTTGTGATTTTGTTATTTTTGTGCCGTGCCCCGGGTCATCACATCTCGTATCCAACAAGTCTGGTATGGGTGACAACACAAAAATGTTGAGGACAACTAAAGGAAAAAAAAGTCACAAGCACCAAGTTTCTAATTCTCCAGGTAGACTATAGATCAGGGAGTGTCAAACTTGTGGCCCACGGGCCAGATGCATCACATGCTGGCCACACTTACACCCAGTTTAGAGAAGAGGGTGGGGGGGAATCGTGATACATCACGTCATGACAACGTAACACCGTGAGTATGATACCCTGCTATAGGTGATGCAGGAAGAAACAAGCCATTAAACAAAGTAGTTTGTTTGGATAATGTGATGCACAAAGCTGGGTTTTTTTTTTCCCCATGGATGGGTTTTAGTAGCATTACTCTCTCTTCCTACTCACAGCCTGACTCTCCAAATTGTGGGTGTGGAGATCAGACTTGCGATTTTATTTATACAATTTATTTGCCACCCATCTCACATCCCACAGCTCTGGGGTGGTTGACAACAGAAAAATGTCGAGGACAACAAAGGGGGAAAAAAATGTCACAAGCACCGGCCACATAACTGATTGTCTTCTACAACTCCACCTCGCTTGAGCTGTGGCTAAGCAGCTACTGGAGTCCTTCTAGAAAGCATTGCTGAGCTAATGTCCTCACACCGACAAAACAGGTCATTCATTGAAACATCAAGCTGGCTGTGCTCACCGGAAGATCCCTGGCACCAAGATGTCCCTTCTCAGGTTTTCAGTAGCAGGAATCCTGCCATGCTCAGTCCAACGGTGTTCTGTCTCACTGCAGCCCCTTGCACTAGTTCAAACCACATGAAGTCTCCCTTCTCCAGCTCCACCAGGGCGAAGACCGTTGTATAACCACCACTGGACTTCTTCTTCTTGTTGTTTACTAGAGTCATTCTGTGGCCATTGCTGAAAACCAGTTGTCCCAGAGCAGGTCCTGGGGGGAACTCTGCACCGACCACCACCATATAAACCCCGTTATGAGATGCCTTGAAGTAGCCATGTTCGTGAGAGTAACCTCCCCCATAGTTAATGTAGGTGCGGTTAAAGACGGAGGGTTCCTCTTTATCTTCGGCGTATTGCACATAAAAAGCCACCGCTGTGTCTGGAGATAAGAAAAAGAAAAAATTAGGGGATGTGAACAGAATTCCACATAGTTGTATCACCTTTGATGTAACCGTAGACATTCAAGTGATGTTCTTCCAAACCAGCTTGGAAATGAATAGTAGGACATGTAGCAGAGGCCAACATTCAAGATAAATCTTACTCCCAAATTTTTCTCTGATCCAGATTTTCATTCTCAGTTTTCCCCAGCCATCTAAGACTGTCTGCAGTCTGTCTCCCTCTTGCTACCTCTTCAAATATATTCTACATCTTAACTTAATAGCGATGTCAAGAACTCCATTGTCACAAGGAGTTGTAACATCTCACCCTAGCATCAGCAGGCCTCGCAGCTTCATCAACCTCAGTTTTTCCAGTTGATTCTGCTCTTGGCACAGTTTCCATTACTGATTAATACAATAATTCTTCATCTTTTGTGTGTTTGTCCTAAATGCCCCCCCTATACTGTAGAGCAGGGGTCCCCAACTTGGCAACTTTAAGACATCGCATAGCTGGCTGGAGAATTCTGGAAGTTGAAGTCTACAAGTCTTAAGTTAAAGTTGCCAAGTTGGGAGACCTTTGCTGTGGAGAGTTGAGAAATAAGGAGCTATCGAGGGGTTTGAAATGGGTATAAGTGAAGATTGATGGCCCTCTCCAGTTTAGACAATAGGTTTCTCCCAACAATACAAGCCACGCCTGTTAAAGTAGTTTGTTTGGACAACATGATGCACAAAGCACAATTATTGGTGCTCAGTGGATGAATAAACAATTTACCGCACCTTCTCTGGATCTGTAGAGGTGGACTTATCCATAAGAAGATCAACCATGTCCAAAGAGGACTTTTTTTTCTTATCCCAAGGGTGAAAAAAGAGATATTTCCTTTCCTCATTCTATGAAGGAGAAGAACAAAGGCTTCTACGAAACAGACAAAACACAGCCTACTTCTGGGATTAGACACACAACTCAACCATCAAAGCGAAGCGTGAGGAGTCCTCAAAAGCTCCCACCCAACATTGTCTCAGTGAAGGATGTGGACACCAGAAGGTGGCATCCATTCTGCATTGCAACAAAGCCTCCTGCAACCCCTTCTGGGAAGCAGTTCAGCTTAGGAATAGGAAGATGGCCAGGAGATGTCGCTGCTACAAAGGAAAATAACTTCACCAGAAAAGGAAAATATTTGAAACTCAGACTCCTGAAGATCCCTTTTAGCTGTTGCCATCTTATTGATAAGCTCCAACTCTTTTGATAAACGGAATAGTTATTTTCCTAAGCTTTTCGAAAACTCTCCATATTTAAGAGAGAGAGATACTGAAAGCTAACCAAGGGCATAGGGGACAACGTTCACTCTGAATCTCTGATACAACAGGCTTTTGTATATAATACGGCTTTTTTCATCACAGCAAAGCAAAGTGCATTTGTGCGTTATCCAAAGGCTCATGTTCTCTTTATATTTGATTGTATAGTACTTGATCATGCTATCCCACCTCCCCAAACGGACATTGAAACTGAAAATGTGCATTAGTGGTAAATAGATCCAGGTCTCTGACAAAATTTTCCTTTTTAACGGAATCATTTCCTCGGCATTTCCCTTCTGAGATGCACTACAGCTCGTCCTCAACTTACGTCACAGCTGAGGCTGGAACTTCCCTCACTGAGCAAGACATTAAGTGAGTTCCACCTGGTTTTTACAACTTTTTTTTTTCCATCAGTAAAACACTGTGGTCATTAAATAAATCATGGATCCTTAGCTTCTTGAATGCACCCATGGGATTACCTAGTAATGAAATATCTGTAAGAAAACAACTAAGGTCAAAAAGCACCAAGGGCACCACTGGTGGGATTAATTTTTTTTTTACTACCAGTTCTGTGGGTGTGGCTTGGTGGCCGTGGCAGGGGAAGGATACTGGACAATCCCCATTCCCTCCCTACCCCATTAACCTGCTTTCCAGCTCCGTTTTCCTGTACAGGGCAACCAAAGAAGATCCAGCCAATCAACTGGGACTCAATGGGAGGTGGAGCATAGATGGGGGCGGGGCTAGTCAGAGGCGGTCTTTGCCGGTTCTCCGAACTACTCAAAATTTCCGCTACTGGTTCTCCAGAACTGGTCAGAACCTGCTGAATATACCACCTCTGAAGTGCACCACAGTTCAACCCTGAGCTACAGATAGCCTTTTCTGTTGGGGTCATCCAACTCGTCTGCCCATCCAGCTCAGTATTTCATAATCTTGACAAAACCCAGTGGCAAAATCCAGCGTGCAAATCCACTCCCAACATTCCCAGAAATGCCCCTACCACAGCTCTTGGTCCCACACGCCTGGTGTACCCAAGCCTGGGAAACGGAAAACATAGATTTCAATGCAACCTGCTGCCCTTGGCAATGGACATCTAAGGTTTCCGAATTTCCCCCAAGCACTCCGGATCCTTGCCATCCAGAATCAAAAACTGAAGGTCCACCTCCTCCCTCCATCAGTCTCTTCAGCAGATTTAACAGAATCACAAGAGTTGGAAAGGACCTTGAAGGACTTCCGGCCCAACTCCCTGTACCCCTTCAGACACCAGGGGTGGGATTCAAATTTTGTAACAACCGGTTCTGTGGGCGTGGCTAGGTGGGTCATGGTCATGTGACAGGTGGGTGTGGCTTTTTTTTTTTTTTTTTTGCAGCACCCTCTTCCTGTTTTTGGGACCTCCTGGGGTGGCATTTTTGCTCCCAGAAGGCTTCCCTGGGGCTCAGGAAGGGGGGAAAAAAACTATTTAAGGAAATACCTTAAGAAGTGACTGGGTGGGGAAGAACGCAGTCAGTGCTGTCGGGTATGCGCGCAATGTTGCGCATGCATGATAAGGACTGACTGGGCAGGGAGAGGGGTGGGGCATGATTTGTCAATTCTCCAAACTGCGCAGAATCATAAAAACCGGTTCTATTGAAACTGGTCCGAACGGGTAGAACCGCACCCCTGTCAGACACCCACAACTTCTGAAAGCAAGCCATTCCATTGGTTAATGGTTCTGTCGGGGAATTTCTCCTTAGTTCTAGGTTGAATCTCTCTCCTTGATTAGTTTCCATCCGTTGTTCCTTGTCTTGGCCTTCTGGTGCTTTGGAAAATAAGTTGAACCCCCCCCCCCCCCCCCGCCTTCTTTGTGGCAGCCCCTCAAATGTCGGCGTGCTGCTGCTATCATGTCACCCTTAGTCGTCCTTTCCTCTAGACCGGACGTACCCAAATCCTGAAACTGTTCTTTCATAGTTTTAGCTTCCAGCCTGCTCTAATCGTCCTAATTGCTTTTCTCTGCACTTTTTCCAAAGTCTCAACATCTGTTTTGGAATGTGGTGATCAAAACTGGATGCAGCATCCCAGGTGTGGCCTTACTAAGGCTTTATAAAGCAGTATTAATACTTCAACTGGCCTTGATTCGATCCCTCTGTTAATGCAACCTAAGATTACATTGGCTTTTTTGGCGGCCACCAGACACAGTTGGCTCATATTTGTTCAGTTTCATCCATTGCTTTGGAGAATAGCCTTCAGGTGCTTTGGGGAATAGCCTGATTCCCTCTTCATTATGGCAGCTCCTGAGATGTTGGAACAGTTGCTATCATGTCACCCCTAGAGTCCTCCTTTTCATTAAACTAGGCATATCCAATTCCAGCACCGTTTTTTATATGTTTTAGCCTCCAGTCCCCTAATCATCTTCGTTGCAGAGATAGACTTATATACTGTTCCATAGTGCTTTAGAGCACTCTCCGAGCCCTCTGCAATAGCAACAGCAATAACACTTAGAGTTACATAACTCTTTATAGTGCTTTACAGCCCTCTCAAAGCGGTTTTACAGAGTCGGCCTCTTTCCTCCAACAATCTGGGTCCTCATTTGACCCACCTTGGAAGGATGGAAGGATGAGTCAACCTTGAGCCTGGTGGGATTTGATCTGCCAAATTGCAGTAGGAGTAGCTTGCAGTACTGCACTCTAACCACTGCGCCACCGAGGCTCACAATGTCAGCCTATTGCCCCCAACAATCCAGGTTCTCATCCCATCAACCCTGGAAGAATGGAGCCCTATTAGGATCGAACTCTATACTGTGGACAGAGTTAGCCTGCAACACTTAAACAATATTTAAGTGACCATTGAACTAGGACTCCGAGATTCCTCTTACAATTACTGCTATTGAGCCAGGTTTCTCCTAATCTGTACCTGAATATTTGGGGGGTGGGGGTTTGCCTAAGTGTAAACCCTTATTTTGTCTGCATTGACTTTCATTTTGTTAGATAGGGCAGGGAGTCCATCACAGTCCAGGGCAGTCCAGGGCAGGGAGTAGAGAATGGGAAGGAACCTAGGTGAGGAAATAAGTGTTCAAAAGTTGTAAGGATCAACCTGGACCTTGTAGGGTTATGCTTTCTTCATATCCACCATCCCTCTCTTAAAATAGTTTTAAATTAATTTAAATAAAAGAACCTGTCCTGTGACAGTCCCAATCAGAGGTCTTCATGCTTGGCAACTTTAAGACTTGTGGACTTCAACTTCTAGAATTTTTGGGAGTTGAAGTCCACAAGTCTTAAAAGTTGCCAAGTTTGGGGACCCATGGTCCAGATGATACACAATAGTGGCTAATTTTTTTTATATACCAGAGCAATTATTAATTGTAAGAATAAAATAACACCTTGTCTGCTGAAGTCTTAACAGCCACTCGCAAATGCAGTGGGAACATTGGACACGAAATTTTGGAAACCACGATGAGACCATTTCAAAAAACTAGAGGAATCTACCTGTCTCTAGTATCTCTGCATTTATCTTGTTCCTTCCATTCAGAGTAGCTTCTCTGTGGCCATGGACTTCTTTCTTCTCCCTCATGTTTTGCTGTTCTTTCTCCTTGAGGTGCTTCCTTGTTTTTCTGCTCATCAGCAACTGAAGTTTTGCTACATCCAGGCTGACATTTGAGGCAGCCAAGTCCTTACTATTTCCAAACAATTTATGAAAGATCGCTAGATGTTCTTCGAAGTTTTTTTTGGCTGATACAAGATCTTCCTTCACCTCCTTGACTGAAACACCGAGGAAGTCCCCTACGTTGGCTTTAGTTTGATTGCAGCAAGAATGAATATAATCCCATTGCAATTCAAATTTCTTCATCTCTTTGGTAAGGTGTCCAATCTCTCTTTTTAGGGTTGTAATATCATGGTATGCTGGATTGTCTAAGGCATCCTCCATGAAAGCTTCATGGTTTGGCTCCATATATTCTACTCTACCATGTTGGGGATTGAGGTCTGTTTGTTTCTCAGGATCAGGCTCTTTCAAAGATTTATGATCATGTGGATTATCCTCATGATCTGCCTCCAAAAAGTCTATTCTCTTCTTAAAATTCTCTAGTGCCATACTTTGCTTCTTGAGATGGTCTGAAATTAATTTGATGTTCATCACTGGAAATTGATCTGTGGGTAGAATGACTTCTTCTTCATACAGGTGTTCCAAAATTTCCTCTCCTAGCAGGACCTCAAGGGCCTTCTCGTGTCTCAATGCATCCACCAGCAACGAGTTGAAAGAACTGTTGAGATACCTCACGTGGTCGCGCATCTTCTCGTCGGCTTTTTTGAGCATATTAACCTCCTCAGAAGAAATGTCAGAATGGTTTTTTAAGAGAGAGAGGCCATCTTGTAGCTTCCAACTTTGTTCTTGCTGGAAATCCAAAGATTGATGGATAAGTGGGAAAGCAGCAGCGAGGTCTTTCAAACGTGCCTCCAGATGCTTTAGATGTTCTCCATGCATCTGAGTGGTGTTCTTTAAGTCTTCCACATGGATACTTGAAGGCGGATCTTCACAACAGCACGTCTTCATGGACTTCTGTAGACTCCAGTAGTTTTCTTGAATATCTGCCAGACTATCATTAAGAGCGAAAATCCTCTTTTCTACATCTTCTCTGTATTCATCGACCATGAGACTCCCTTCTATTAATCGTACACGGAAGTCCTCTATGTCACGTTTTGAGCTGTCTTTTAACCTTGTGATAGAATCAGTTAGTTCTTCATAGTCTTTTTCAGACTCCTCATAAAGCATCTTTAGCTCCTGAGCATGTTTTTCCAAGGTCTGATTGAAGTTCTGGATATCAGTATCAGCAAACACCCCATTCTGATTGCCCGATTGCCTTGGGAACATGGCAACATTTCTGTTTAGGATCTCAAGCTCCCCACGAAGCTTGTTTTGCTCTTGCCTCATGTCGGCCAAACTGTTGTTTAAAGCGAATAAAAAAGACTGCTGCAGCTTGTGGTGCCTCTTGAGCTTCAGGTCGGTGTCTGCTTTGATCATCGTAAGATTGTAATGGATGACGGCTTGTTGCAGATAATTATGATGATCCATTTCTCGCTTCATCTGGTCGGCCCTCAGAACATTTGCTTGGACTTTGGATTCAAACTTTGTCCCTAGTTCTTGGAAATCTTTTCTGGGCACAGAACTTTCTTGGAATCGCTCTATGCTCTTCCGATTAGCTTCCACGCTCTGGGAAAGGTTCTGCACAGCAACGGACAGGTCCTGGAGGCTTTTATTGAAACTGGCCCAGACAGGATTGAAATGCTCCTTCAGGAAACTGTTTATGTGGAGAAAGAGCATTTGCTGGAGTTCTGAAACACATCACAAGCCAAAAATACATTAGCAGTTACTCCTATGCTTGATTGATTGCTTCACACTGTTGAGAAATGAGAGAGGTCTTTGGTGCTCTCTGAGCTTGGTTGCTTTCTTCCAGATGTTTCATGACCCACACTAGGTAACATCATCAGGACTAGCATTGATGATGTTGCCTAGTTTGGGTCCTGAAATGTCTGCAAGGAAACACCCAAGCTCAGAGAACACCAAGGACACCACAGTTCTCCTCCTCCTCCTCCTCCTCCTCCTCTCTTCCTCAAATCCCACTCCCCTCTAGCAATGACGATGTTATCTAGTTTGGGTCATGAAACATCTGCAAGTAAACAACTAAGCAACACAGCATTGAAGATCCCACAGTTCGATCCTGAGCTACAAATAATCTCCTTGATCCACTGGTGGGATTCAACCGGATCGCACCACTTCAGCCGAACCGGTTGTTAAATTGCTGGCTGGGCCCTCCCCACCTCACCCCTCCCAGGAGTTCCCACACACCCTGTTTTGGCTCCAGGGTAAGTGCAGGGAGACCTACTAGGCCCATAAGGAGGCACAGAGGTGTGTGTGGCAAGCACCCCCATGGTCTATTTAGGCCCTGGTAACCCTCCCAAGAGGCTTCAGGGAGGCCCACTAGGCCCAAAATGGGGTGCATGGGGGTGCCTTCCTCTCCCCCCAAAGCCTGTTTTTACTCCTGGGGGGGGTGCAGGAGGCCGAGTACTGCCTGTCACACACCCTGGCCATGCCCACCTTTGCCACGCCCACCCAGCTGGTCATTAGGGCAGTTGTTGTTAAATTATTTGAATCTCACCAGTGCCTTTATTGGTACTGTTGAGAAGTACCCCTCTTACCTGACTGGTGCTGGTCCGTGCCTCCATTTCTGTCGGTGCTATTGTGATGAAGGACTTTCTGTAAGATTCCCAAACTGTTTGCCGCCTGGTGAATGTCGTTCTGCAGATCTTCTAGCACTGCTTCATGACTTTGATGGGCTTCTACAACATCTCCTGAGTCTGACAAAGATGAACGTTAGTTGCAAAGAAGCAAGACAAGATAAGAACACATCTAAATATACTTTAGTATGGAAGGTGAACGTCCACATTTAAAAAACAAACAAACATGCACGTATGTTGCTAATAGGAAGAAGGAAGAAGGAGGATGGTTTTTGTTGCAGGAAATGGAATTTCAAAACAGCAAGGAATGTAGCTTAGATGTTGCCAATCAATATGAAACACATTTAAGAAATACATTTTCAAATCAACAATATGATTTATGTTAGATGGCAGATCACTTTAAAGTCCTTGTTTGTATCATCTGTGCTTTTATTAATTACTGGCACATGGAATGCCTTCATCCCTATTTTGTTTATTTTTTCTTACTGCCTTTCTCTTCCGTTGTTCATATTTTGCTAATACCCAGAGATAAGCAGTTGAAAGTGATAAACACTGTTTGTAATTTTCAGGCATGGTTTTTAATAGGTAATTAAAGACTCTGTAGACACTGTTGGATTAAGCAACCCCCATCTTAAAAAGCAGGATATAGCAGAAGAAGAATGTTGAAAATCTAACACATCTGAAAAGCAGCAGGTACTGTGAATGAAGAAGCTGCAGAAATATTCTCCGTGCATACTATGAGGATGTGAAGTACAACTATGGAGTTAATCACTAACAGCTTCACAGATACATTCTTCCAGTTGTGGAAATAAAAGATGAGCTGAAACCTACTGCGGTTTGAGAATGCTTCTTCCCAGTGTTCAGGCTGACTGGTACCCACTGGAAACTGAGCTGGATCTGAAAATCAATTCCATGAGACATTTATTTCCCTTTGCCCCCAATTTATGGCAGGAAACACCCCCACACACACACACACAAAATTATTTAAGCTTTTAAAAAAAAAAATTTTTTCATGTCTGTGTCATCCCACAGAGCAACCCATTTCCTAATACTAATATATGCACTGATGCAGTGGTGGGATTCAATTGTTTTTACTACGGGTTCTGTGGGTGTGGCTTGGTGGGCGTGGCAGGTGAAGAATACTATAAAATCTCCAGTCAGAGGTGAGATTTGGCAATTCTCTGAACTACTCAAAATTTCCACTACCAGAACTGGTCAGAACCTGCTGAATACCCACCTCTGCACTGATGTAATAATGTTAAGAGAGCACCTAGTTACAATTCAGGTTTTTCTGGTCCTTCAAAATAGTTCTCTTGTATTTTTGACCATCCTTACTTATTAGGAAAGTCGGGATGATCTTCATATTATAGGGGACAAGAAAGTCTTAGAGATTGAGGTAAGAATTCAGATTCTGAGAAGATGGGAAGAAGGACTTTTGTGGCTTTGAAATCCTCTCCGCTTTTCTGCTACTTATTGTTGTGGTCTGCTGGAGGCCTGTGGAGCTGGCAGCAGAGTTGGACATGGGGGAGGAACATGGGCCAGTCCTGGAGTCTGGGGAGGACTCAGATGAGGGATCTGCATCCAATACAAAGATGGGGCCAGGACCATCTAGGAGTTATGTGCAGACTCTGGAGCTTCAGAATCTGACATCAGTGAGGCAGAGGAACAGGAAGAGCCTATTCCCAGTGCGTGCTTGCGCAGAGCTGCCAGAAGGCAAGAACAGTTAAGACAAATGGGGAAACTTGGGAGTAAGGCTTGGAGATGATTGGCCCCTCCCATAAGACATAAAGGAGGAGCAAAGGGACATGAGCCTTTGCAGGAAGCAACTTTGTTCGTTCTGATCGGTTTAAATTCTGAAGCTCCATGTTGACTTTGTGCTCTGTTTGGCCTTGTACAGCTTATTGGCAATTTAGTTATTGGCAGAATTTCAAGGGAGATAAAGGTGGGTGCTTATCAGCCTTATCCCCAAAAGACTGTGGCAGACTTCTGTTGGACTATTCATAAACGTTTGGGACTCATTACGGGCTGTGAATGCATATAATTCACAGCCGTTGAAATAAAAAGGTTTTTGGGACTAAGCATGTGACTGGTACTGTCTCAGGAAGCCTTGGTCATAATGACCCAGCAGAGATCTTTCTCAACAATCAAGAATCCCTTTAGGTTTCCTAACCCTCCCAATTCTTGGACCTGACTTCGGCCAATCTGCTTGATTAGTTGATAACACAGAGTGCACCCATCTACAGAAGGTTACTTAAAGATGTATTCTTACCATATTGTTCACAATCCTTGCCTACATAACCTGGACAGCACTTCCAGTCTAAAAAGCTTACAACTTTCTCTTTTATCTTGTAGACTGGCTTCACAGCTGTTCTGTACCTAGAAGAAGAAAAAGAAAGGGAACAAATGATAGATTAGAACTAAGCCTCATCTCATACCCTGAAGGTCTTGATAAAGAACCATAGCAATTATGGGACCTATCAGACGTTTTGGCTAGGCAAAATTTATCTGCAGAAATCCAGGTGACCCTATGATTTTTTCCCGCTCTACTTCTTTGCTACGATCTAGTCTTCATCTGTAGGCTTCATTTGATTTTGTGTCCCTGCCCAGTTGCTAAAAAATGCAGGTTTCTTTAACTGTCAACCTACTTCTGCAAAAGGCTGTTCTCTGCTCGGAGGGCTTCTGCAGAGACCGCGCCATCTTTTCCTTTCTCTTGAAAGTTACCCACTTGAAGCTTAAATATGCCCCAAGGAGGTTGAGAACTGCCAGTCAACAAGACCATTGGTTTTAACCCATCCTAGGATGCCTCTAAAGAGAGAAGCATCCCTCCTTTGGGACAAGGTGTTTGTGACCATAAAAGAGAGACCAATCCAGGGGGTGAGGCTGCTGGGGGTTCGCACGGGTTCGGGAGAGCCCCTAGATAAGATTCTGTGCAGTTTGGAGAACCCTCCCCAAATCCCATTCCTGGCTGGCCTCGCCCACCCCACCCCTCCCAGGAGTCCCCACATGGCCTGTTTGGGATGCAGGTAAGTGCAGGGCATGTGCGGAGACTCTGGAAACGTGAAAAATGGGCCTCCTGGAAGTTCAAGAAGGCCAGAAATGGGCCCATTTCCAACTTCCAGAGAGCCTCCGGAGCCTGGGGAGACCGTTTTCATCCTTCCAGAGGCTCAAGCAAGACCTCCACACCCTGAGGAGGGCAAAAATGCCCCCTCCCCCATGGTGCAGGAGGCCAACTAGGCCACGCCTACCATGGCCACACCCACCTAGAAACCAGGCAGAGAACCCTTTGCTAAAAATTTTTGAAGCCCATCCCTGGACCGAACTAAGATGTTGTCTCTGGATTCTTGGGAAATTCTGTAACATTCCTCTGACATTCCCTTTTGAACATTTGCAACGGATCTCATTTTCTAGCATGGGAACTGCTGCTGCAGCTGAGGATCAACCTCTCAGCATGGCTGGAGCGTCCATTTCTGGCTGCATGCTAAGGAATCAAATTGGGATCATTTACATAGCAAACGTTTTCAGTAATGAACTCATCAAATTTGGCTTTCTTGGTTGTGTCCCATGTGTTCCTATTCGGGCTGAGCTGAGTTCTACAGCAAGGATCATCTGATGAGGTGTAATTCCCAAAGAAGGCAAGTTTCTCTAAGCTAGGTAAGATATTTCCTCACTCCTGAGAAATCTCCAAGCTGCATTGGGCAGCCTTTTTTTTTGAGGGGGTCTGTGCCATGGCCAACTTGGCATCCACAACTAACTTGCCATAGCCAACTTGCCATGGCCAACTCATTGAGGGACAAGAGTTACACTAATATCAAAGAAATGATGGAATATAATCATTAAAGAAAGGATACAAAAGGAGAGACAGAATGAAATGTGAATGGCAAAAATTAAAATAATTTTTATTTATTTTAAATAATTAAACAGAATTGTTAAATTGTCCCACTGCAAGTTGTCCTGCAGCAAGTTGGCCATGATGAGTTGGCTGTGGTGAGTTGGCCATGGTAAGTTGACCATGGTGAGTTGGCCATGGTGAGTTGGCTGTGATAAGTTGACCATGGTGAAGTGGCCATGGTGAAGTGGCCGTGGTGCGATGGCCGTGGTGAGTTGGCCATGGTGAGTTGGCTGTGGTGAGTTGGCTGTGATGAGTTGGCCATGGTGAGTTGGCTGTGGTGAGTTGGCCGTGGTGAGTTGGCCATGGTGAGTTGGCCGTGGTGAGTTGGCTGTGATGAGTTGGCCGTGGTGAGTTGGCCGTGGTGAGTTGGCCGTGGTGAGTTGGCCGTGGTGAGTTGGCCGTGGCAAGTTGTCCCATTCCCTTTTTTGAGGAGAGGACAAAAGCTCTGTTCCATATCAAGGGAGACACCTGACACTGGATCTCAACAGACAAGCCTGCTTTGGATGTTGGGTTGACTCCCCCTTAAGAAAGATGGTGCTACGTACATGATCTTCTGGCAGTCTGGAGTTCCATTCGGACATGGTTGTTGGGACCTGATTATGTATTTCTCTGTCCTGCAAACTACAATGTAGGTGGCATGCCGATACTGAACGGAGGAGCACCAGTTCCTAAGGGAAAAGAGAGAACGGATTGAATTTGCCAAGACAGATCTCGGAAATCAGGCAAGTCATTCATCCAAGCACATTAATAGATTAATAGGTCTTCTGGGCCAATCAAGCAGGAAACTCTGTGCCATTTCAGATAAATGGCTGTCCAAACTTTTCTTTAAAACTTCCAGTAATGGAAGCACCTGCAACTTCTGGAGGGAAGCTGTTCCACCGGTTGATTGTCCTCGCTGTTAGGAAATTTCTCCTTATTTCTAGGTTGCTTCTCTCCTTGATTAGTTTCCACCCGTTGTTTCTTGACCTGCCTTCAGGTGCTTTGGAGAATAGGTTGACACTCCCCCCCTTCTTCTTTGTGGCAGCCCAGAAAGAGAATTAATGACATTCTCTGTCATTAAAAGGAGGGGAGAATTGTCATTTTGCTGCTTTGCAAGACCATTCAAGAGTCTTCTTCTCTGCCTCTGGTGAAGTAGTACAAACCCAGTAGAAACTAAGATCTACTAGCACCGAGTCAACCAGTCCCTGTGCATCATCTCTCCTCAACCTGATTTCCTCCGTATGTTTGAACTAGTTACAGGATCAACCCCAGTCAAAATATCTCAAGACCTTCAAGATGGGAAAAGCTTTCGGGAGTTGTGGGTGCTCCATCACTGGAGATTTTTAAGAAGAGCTTGGACAACTATTTGTCTGGAATGGTATAGGATCTCCTGCTTGAGCAGGGAGGTGGACTAGAAGATTCCCAAGGTCCCTTCGGTTATTCTGTTAGATCTTCTGTCCTAAGGGTCAACAACCAAACAAAAATTTCAGAGAAGCAACGCCTAACTTGAAATACCAAAGACTGAGCTTGTATGCAAAAATGAGACCTTCTGCATCTAACCATTTTTGGATGGTGGTCAGAGGTGGTATTTGACAACTATAAAACATGTATTAAAATGTTAGGGAGGAAAGCAGAGTCAAGGGTGACAGTGAATTACGTATCTCAGAGTCGGCTACACCCAGGTCATGCTGACATGTTAACTTCTAATAAATCCTTTGAAGTTTGGGGAGTGTGACTCATGATTTAATTGGAGTAACTGCTGGAATCCTGACAGAATTCAGCAGGTTCTAACCAGTTCTGGAGAACCAGTAGCGGAAACTTTGGGTAGTTTGGAGAACCGGCAAATCCTACCACTGACTGGCCCCATCAACCCCATCTATTTTCTGCCTCCCGAGTCTCAGATGGTTGGCTGGGTTTTCTTTTATTGCCCTGCACAGAAGAATGGAGCTAGAAAGCAGGTTAGTGGGGTGGGGAGGGAATGGGGATTTACACTATCCTTCCCCTGCAACGCCCACCAAGCCACGACCACCAAGCCACACCCACAGAACCGGTGGTGGTGATGGTAGGTCTTTGAGTCCAACTTGACTCCAGGTGACTGTCTAAAGTAGTATCTGCAGCTTTCTTGGCAAGACTTTCAGAAGTGGTTTGACCTTGCCTTCTTCTTTCTAGGGCTGAGACAGAGTGATTAGCCCAAGATCAACCAGCCTGACTTCATGCCTAAGATAGAACTAGACCTCATGGTTTCTAGCCTGGTACCTTCACCACTACACAAACTGGCTCTTTTAGCTCCCAACTTTCTGACCTCCATTCTGCTTCCACCTCCATCTCTACCTCAGCTGATCCCACATGGAGTGACTCAAATCTATTGTGTTAGGATCTCTGTTTACCCAAAGTGTTGGTGTTTTGGAAAACATGAGAAGGCAGTTCCACCCAGAATTGTCCTGGATCAGTAGCTGTGGCCAAGATGCCAAGAAAGTTGGGGTATTTTGTTCCCTTCTCATTGTGCGGATATAAATACTCTTTTCTCCTGAAAGAGCAGGTGATCGAATCAAAACAGAAATCCTCATACAATTCCACCAGCCTCCAGAGAGGAACTCTGAAAGGTCAGGGGCCCCTTTACCCATGGCTGCATTGGAGGACTCACATGGACGTTGGGTGTGGGCCTCCTAAGAATAGAAAGAACTTCACCCTGCAAAGAATGGTCGGTGGAGTTTACTCTCTCGGCGTGGGAGTTGAGGAGCTGAAGTCCTGATAACCTCCTTACATGGGAAGGTTTTCTGCTTTGGAATGGAGTGGACGAAACAACGGGAAGTGTGTAAAGCCCCTGAGGGGAAATGGACATCACACCAGAGGTGGAGCAGAGTTGTGTTTGTGGCTATGTAGTAGAGACTGAAGCTTTGCAGCTGAAAGTGGTAAGCAGGCAGCAAACTAACCCAAAACCAAGACATAACTATATACAGTATATGTATGTATACACACACACACACACACATACACACACACACATGCACACATACACACACACACACACACACGTAGCTAGCCCTACCAGTGTTGGTGGGAATGATCTGGGCTGTTCCTTGATTAAGCTAAAAGACCATATAATCAACACCCTTATAAACAGAGATTAACACCAAGCAGCAAACATCAGGAAACAGCAGTAGACCCAGGATATTACCAACTCAGTAAAAAATAGCCTAATCAAGGAATCACCAGAAACTCCCACCAACACTGACAGAGGAAGCTAGTAGGAAGTAGTATATAAACAAAGAGCAAACCTCCCTCCCAACAGCACTGAAGATGTTACTTAGTTGGGCCATGAAACATTTGCAAGAACTTTCAGAGAGCACCAAGAACTTCATGAGCATATCCTTGCTCAGTAATTGCATGTCCATGTCGTCATCCAGAATTCAGTTCGATGCAAGAGAAATATTCTTTTAACAGAATAACAGAGTTGGAAGAACCTTCCAACCCCTGCTCACTCTTTCCTTCCTTCCTTCCTCTCTCTCTCCTTTCCTTCCTTCCTTTCTTCCTTCCTTCCTCTCTTCTTTCCTTTCTTTCTCTCCTTTCCTTCCTTCCTCTTTCTTTCTCTCTCCTTTCTTTCCTTCCTTCCTTTGTCTTCCTTCCTTCCTTCCTTTCTTCTTCTGTCTCTCCTTTCTTTCCTTCCTTTCTTCCTTCCTTTCTTTTTTCTTTCTCTCTTCTTTCCTTTCTTTCTCTCCTTTCTTTCCTTCCTCCCTTCCTCTTTCTTTCTCATCCTCCCTCACACACAAATGCCTCTCATCTCTCTTATCTTATTAAAGTGAAAGAAAAATGATCTAAATTTAAGATGTACCTGAATTTAAGATTGAAAATCAATCATAGATTCTGAACCCTACCCAATGCCTTCTTGCCAATCAAGTGCAATCAAGTGCACTTATGGTGATTAGAACTGAAGTAAAATGTGAAGTCCATCGATTTCCCACTTGCATGTATCTATCAACCAGCCTCTCTTTCTCTCCCCTCTAGCATAAATGAAGGACTCCTGGCTTATGACACAACCTGGGGCGTGATCAGAAATGCAATATTTTTACAAAGGAAGTTCTGGTATAAATGGGCCCCCAAGTGGAGCTCTCACAGTTGCATCCGTGTGCTTCACCCTGTGCTGAAAAATGTTTCCATGCTCATTAAGTTCTCCCCACCCGATTTTATAACCTCTACTTTCTCATGGAAATGGAAACACACACACGTTGCCAACTTGGCTGGCATAATTTTATTCTGAAACAGGTTTAGCGTTTTGGGAAACCTGCCAGCTACAAGCACAGGCTGGCTTTCAGGAAAGGAAAACTCCTTTCAGACAGCCCTCGCTTCCTGCAATTGTTTGGTCATCCCCAACCCAAACCAACTCTTGCTTCCTGAGTCAGCATCTTGCTTGCTTTCCTTAATCCAAGATCAAAAGTAAAAAAAATAATAATCCCAGACTAAATATACCAAGACTGGTCTATCAACTCTCGAGCCAAATAAGAAGCAAATGAACCTGCGGTATAAGGCAGGGGTCTCCAAACTTGGTAACTCTAACTCTTGTGGACTTCAACTCCAGAATTCATCTGGCTGAGGAATTCTGGGAGTTGAAGTCCACAAAGTTGTCAAGTTTTGGAGAGCTCTGATTTAGGGCTTTGAGTGGTGAACTAACCTGGAGACATCTTGATTTGCTCCACCACTGGAGATGTTTGAGAAGAGACTGGACAACAATTTGCCCAAAATGGTATGGAGTCTCCTGTTTGAGCAGGTGGTTGTTCTGTGACTAGAAGACCTCCAAGGTCCCTTTCAACTATATTAGAAGAGATTCTCAGTCCTCCAGGTCATGGTTATCCCAAAGGTGCTTTTTCAGGAGGCAACTGGATTTTCTTGAGTTTTTCTTGAAAATGTTTCTCTTCTCGTCCACATAGTTTCCTCATTTCTGGTTTCTTTCTCACACTTTTTTTAAAATATTCTTTGTAGACAGCTGGTCAACCTCCAAGTGCTTCAATAACCCTCTAAAAAGGATGCAAATTTCTTTGATACTATTTTTATAAAATTCTATTAAGATAGACTTGGTATGACTTGATGATTCATTGTAAAATAAATTAAGTAAATTATAGTTATCTCGTTAAAGTATGAATTAACAAAATTATAGTCAAATGATTGCTTAGTAATGATATCAGGCTATATAATTGTTTATTGATAATATGAGTTATTATGTAATATAATTACAATGGAGACTATGAAATGGATGCACAAAAAAGTGGTAAACCAACCGATACACTGTCTGTAAATTTATGAAGGAGGATGATGTTTTTATGTTTTATGTGTTTTTGTTTGTGGCTAAAATTAACAAAACTTTTTTTCCAAAAAAAAAAAAAGGGATGCAAATGACCAGCTGTCTGCAAGGACTATAAATCCTTCCATTCCCCACCATTCAGTCAAAGCTGAAGAAGCTTCTTGGATGAGAAGTGAAACGTCTTCAAAGAAACCAAAACAAAACAATTGCACAGTGGCAGATAGGAAAGTACTCCAGAGGGTTAACGTCATTTCCCAGAGGATCATGGGTTGCCCTCTCCCCTCTTTGGAAGAGCTTTAATGCTCCTGCTGCCTTAAGGAAGTTCAAAACATTCTCAAAGATCCATCTTATCCTGGGCAGCCTTTTTTTGAACTATTACCATCTCGCAGAGGG